CCTTAACCCTCATCCACTCGCTCGTCCCCACCCCCAAATTCAACCCATTAAGCGCCCACCACCTCCTGACCTCCTCGCCCCTCACCCCCTCCACCCCATCCTCCAGCGCCTCCTCAATATCGCACGTCTTATACTCCACACGCAGGCCACTACGCTTCCACCACTCCAGAACATGCGCATAGCCCATTTTGGTCGGGCCGACCAGGACCTGTGTGTCGAAGAGCATTTTCTCGCCGCGCAGCTCGCGCCAGTAGGCGAGGATGTGGGTGTGGCCGTGGGTGGAGGCGAGCTTTGCGATGGTGTCTTCGTGCGCGAAGGGGATGGTGGATTGGACCCAGAAGTTTATTGCTGGGAGGGAGCCGGATTGGGTTGCGTAGGTTATTGATTTTCCGACTTTGAGGGGGAGGTCGAGGGGGGGTTTGGGGGTGTCTGGTGGGGGTGGTGGTGGTGGTGGTTCTGTTGTTTCTGTTGTTGTTGTTGTTGGGGAAGGGGTGGCGGTGCGGTAGCGGCTGTGGGATTGCCACCATTCTAGGACTTGGATGTGGCCTTGTGAGCTTGCTTGTTCGAGGGATGCTTCGGTGTATTTTAGCGGCAGGCCCGAGGCGTACCACCAGTCTAGCGTGCGGAGAGAGTTTGCCCGACTTGCGTTGTCCATTGCTTCGGGTGAGTATTCTTTTGTGAGGAAGGTGGGTGAGGTGCGCCAGTATTCGAGGATTTCGGGCTTGCCGAAGACGGAAGCTTTGTGTGGGAGGAAGGCGTGGCCAAAGGTGCCCCAGAAGAGGTCTTTGTGGTGGTTTTCCAGATGGCGCAGCACGGGTAGCATGGCGAAGCGCATGATGAGCTCGATGCACAGGCGGGAGATGCGTGTGGGTTCCTCTTGATCGAACAACTTGTTGATCTCGAGATTGGAGTATGTGAGGAGTGCCCACTCCAGTCTCTGCATCTGGGTCTTGGGTCCTTCCTCACTAGCCGCTTGTCGCCACTCTTGCGGTACTGGCAAGTTTGTGTGCACGTTCAGCGCCGTTGCCAACTCCCAGTCCTTTGTGAACTCTAGTATGATAGACCATAGTTCAGGTGGAAGACGAGGTCCTTTGCTCTTGGTGGGCGTGAGCGTTGGAAGGTGGGGGATGGGTAGAGCGATTGTGCGATCACCAACTGCCATGAGATCAATCTGTGTTTGCATAAAGTCATTGAACGCTTTGTGTCCGTCCCATGGGTAGTAATATCGCCCCAAGTGGTCGAAGGTCCAGAGGTAGGGAGACAGAACGCGGATCCAGTTCCACTTGCGACGAATCTTGCCCATCTGCTTCTTCGACGTTGGGTTCTCCCACATCAACGTGGACATGCCCGGTATAAGGAGAACCTTCTTCGACACATCCCAACTCCTCAGTATTTGCAGATGCAGGTTGTTGGTGAAGCCATGCAGCATTCGGGCCAGGTTCTCCGCATCGAGGGGGGCGAGGACCAGCAAGTCGGCCCACGAGCAGTACTCGGCTACCTTTGTCTCTATAAAGTCGACGTGTTGCCAGCCGGGCGCTGTATTGTTCTTGATATCGTATGTGAACCACACGGGCTCGAGGTGTGGAGGAATGGTGGCGTGAGCAGCCGCAGGGAAGTCATTGGCAGCGATGATGCGGAGAGAGACATGTTCGAGGCGGTGCAGGAGCGCAACGACTGAGCAGCTGAATTTGAAGGCAGACGGATCCGTCAGGGCGACGAGGACGTTGAGCGAGCGTTTGGAACATTGCGAGGGCATGAGGACGTTGCGGTGAGGTGTGGAGAGAGCGTAGGTATGCTGCGATGGGCGTCTGTCGAGCAAGACGAATGTCGAATGTTGTGTTGATCCCCGATTGGCCGCTGCCCCACCAATATTTTCGCTTTCCACTTTATCTTATCTGATGGTGACAGGTCGACATGTCTGCCACGCAAACGAGGCATTCGAGAGCGAGGCGGTGTCGCACGGTGCTGTAGGTTGGAGGCAAACGAAGTATGAGAGTCATTGTGTGTAGCCACTTCCTCATCGAACCGTCAGTGGCTGGAGCGATGACTAGTGTGTACTGCAGGGAACGAGATACGAAACGTTCGGTTATGGCGTCCCATGGCATGTGGGCTGTTCGGCCTGCTTTTCTGATCTTGAGATGTGAGATCCCAAAGCGTATCGCACGAATCAGCCATCATCGGTAGTGCAATCCTGGTATGGACATGTGCCGTTACATATATAAGCTTTCAAGTTCAAATTTTGATTCTGCTCTTTGGGCGCCTGTCTTTGTAGGTTCCTGTTCTCGACTGGTGGCGGCCCCCTGCAGGGATGATATCAACGTCGCCCCGATTATCGCCATGTTTTGCCTTCTCATGACGACCTTCTGGGCTGAGACCTGGTCTCGGTCGTTAACCCCGAGGGTGAGATCGACTCTGCAGCGGTTGGGAATAGATGAATGGCCACTTCACGTATTCCACGGCTTTGTTTTGCAAAATAGGTTTGCGTTTCTTCCTCTGCGCGATGACGTAGAGTCCGAGCAAAGTCCTATCTTCAAGCAAAATCCCATGATTTTGGTGACTTTGGCACCTCAGCTTTGGTCACCGCTCGAGCGAATCCACATGTGCCCGCTGCAAAAGCCTTCTCGCAGATTTCTTCGATTTGCGATCTGATGCACATCCGCTAGCTTGTAGCGGTTCAATATCGCCGATCAATCGTAGTAGACTTGATACAGCCTTACCCTGTTAGCTGCCATCTCCTTGTGATCGACGTTCGTGTGTGCATCAAGCGAAACCGCATGTGAGGTGTCTTCGAGCGGGCACTTACTTATTCCCTTTTGCGTAGCCGTCACCATCACCGGCTCTAACCACGCACACGACGGCGATTGCAGATGCGCCTAACCTGTTCCAGCTGTTGGCCGTTATTGTGACTTTGACCTGCTAGCTTCAGCCCTTCACCTCCAAGGCCCTACTGATCATTGCCTATCTGTATTTCACCCACTACAGCGATCACTACATGCAGTCACGAGGCCAGAGATCTCTACCAGGTGAGCACGACCGACGGACACCTTTTAGGGTCGTTCCCCATTCTGTCGCCACAAACAGCCTCCGCTCCCTGCATTACGCCAAGTTTTGCACCTGGCACTTACGAGGGGCCTGAGGGTTCTGAGACTTGAACCGAACACGCGCGCTACACGTTACCGCCCTCCGACATTCATGGACGCCTGAGTAAACGCAGGCTGCTTTGTGCTGGCGCGAATCATTTTCCCATCCCGTTGGGTCAACGCCTACTAGTACGCCTCCATGGCTTCACCACTGCCACAGGCGTCAGACACCGAACACCCCGATGTACACGACGACAACGGCGACGGAGTCACTCCCAAGCCTGAGGACCCTCCCCGCGCGTCTTCCGGCCATGTCAAGCCGCCCAGTTTCGTCCCGTCACCGTCCAATTCGGGGATGATGTCGCCCTCCACGGAAGATGCACTAGGCCCATTGACTCCCTCGGCAAGTGATCGAGTCTTCCCTATTCGCAGCGTCGTGTCTGTTGACCCTACATCTACGCCCAAAGCTTCGAGTAACCACGGAGACTATTTCCACCCCTACTCCAAAGCGAACGACCCACGCCTTCCCGGCGACCGGCGCGCCTCCCAGAGCTCGACCGCGTCTCAAGTTTCACGACATAGTAACAGAGGGTCGGACAGGGCATCCGAGAGTCGAAGGGGCTCTGCAAAACAACAGCCGCCACCGCCTCAGAAGAGCGATGAGCCGAGGATGGTCCCGTTGCTGCCGCCGTCACAGCTTTTTCAGGATGGATCCAGGACAGCAGACAGTTTCCAGGACGACAGCCGATCGGCGTCTCTGAGAGTCGACCGTCCTAGCTCGCCAGGAGGCACTTCGGCCAAGAGCGGTGGAAGCAGTCTGGGTGATATTGGCAGCTTGGTCGCCCCTCGATTCAAGCATGTCGTTGCTGAGGGAGGCCACATGATCATTACCGGGCGGGACGGCGACACGCTGCAACGATGCGAGGACGAGCCCATCCACATGCCAGGTGCTGTACAAGGCTTTGGTCTCTTACTGGCACTCCAAGAAGACACGGGCGAGAGCGGGAATCTAGTAGTCCGAATGGTCACTGAGAATTCTAAGAGAATCATTGGGCGATCTCCGCGGGAACTTTTTGCCTTGGAGAGCTTTACAGACATGCTCTCTGAAGAGCAGGCCGACAATCTTTTGGATCACATAGACTTTATCAAGGACGAGGATTCCGACGTCATGACGAATGGACCCGAGGTCTTTACCATGTCAATCAAGGTACCAGGTGCTTCACGAACGCGCAAGCTCTGGTGTGCCATACACATCAACGATTCACATCCAGGGCTTATCCTTTGCGAATTTGAGCTGGAAGACGATCCGCAATGCCCGCTAGTGCCTCCCAACAATCATACACCCGAACTTCCGGAGGACACGCTAAGCAGCAACCCTACCATAGAAGAACTATTGGAAAGCACCGAAATCAAGAGCAGGCCTTTACGGGTTTTGCGTAGTGCACGCAAAAGAAAGGGTGAAGCTGCTGCAATGGAAGTGTTCAACATCATGTCGCAAGTACAGGAGCAGCTTGCTGTAGCACCAAACCTGGATCAATTTCTGAAAGTCCTGGTTGGGGTTGTCAAAGAATTGACTGGTTTCCATCGTGTAATGATCTACCAGTTCGACCATACCTTCAATGGCAGAGTAGTGACTGAACTGGTCGACCCCCGGGCGACCAAAGATCTCTATAAAGGCCTTAATTTCCCAGCGTCAGATATTCCGAAACAGGCTAGAGAATTATACAAACTCAACAAGGTTCGCATGCTCTACGATCGGGACCAAGAGACAGCTCGTATAGTCTGCCGTACTGCCGAAGATTTGGAAACCCCTCTTGATCTTACACATTCTTATCTCCGCGCCATGTCTCCAATTCATCTCAAGTATTTAGCAAACATGGCAGTAAGATCTTCCATGTCTATATCCATCAACGCTTTCAATGAGCTGTGGGGGCTCATAGCATGCCACTCGTACGGGCCGCGCGGCATGCGGGTCTCTTTTCCCATCCGAAAGATGTGCCGCATGGTCGGTGACTCGGCGTCAAGGAATATCGAGAGGCTGTCGTACGCTTCTCGATTACAGGCCAGAAAACTGATCAACACTGTCCCTACTCAACACAATCCTTCCGGGTACATCATCGCGTCCTCCGACGACCTGTTGAAGCTTTTCGACGCAGACTTCGGACTCTTGTCCATTCGAGATGAGACCAAAATCCTTGGTCAGCTGGAGAATGCACAGGAGGCTTTGGCTATGTTGGAATATCTGAGGATGAGGAAGATACAATCCGTGATGACTTCCATGGATATTAAACAAGACTTTCCCGACCTGCGATACCCTCCTGGATTCAATGTTATCGCCGGAACCCTGATTGTCCCATTGTCTAGCGACGGCGACGACTTCATTGTCTTCTTCCGGAAAGGACAAGTGCAGGAGGTCAAATGGGCCGGCAACCCCTACGAAAAATTCATCAAAGAAGGCACAGAAGGGTATCTGGAACCACGGAAAAGCTTCAAGACATGGTCCGAAACGGTTGTGGGTAGATGTCGTGACTGGACAGAGGAGGAGATAGAGACTGCTTCAGTACTGTGTCTGGTCTACGGTAAGTTCATTGAAGTCTGGAGACAGAAAGAAGCTGCTCTGCAAAGCAGCCAGTTAACTCGATTGCTGCTTGCAAATTCGGCACACGAAGTTCGGACTCCGTTGAACGCTATCATCAACTATCTCGAAATTGCCTTGGAAGGCTCATTGGACGTTGAGACACGTGATAATCTATCTAGGTCTCATTCTGCGTCCAAATCCCTAATATACGTCATCAACGATCTCTTAGATTTGACAAAGACAGAAGAAGGTGGCTCATTGATCAAGGGTGAATCGTTCGATCTGAAAGCCACGATCAGAGAAGCTACAGACGCGTTTCGCAATGACGCTAAGCGGAAGAACATTGGTTATGACGTCGTTGAGCATCCCGGGTTACCAACGTATTGCATAGGTGATCAGCGTCGAGTACGACAGGTGATATCGAATATCACCGCCAACGCCATTCAATTCACTACCCAAGGAAGCGTTAAGATTGAGGCGTATGTCGCTACATGGGCTCAAGCCGACCACGTCGATGTAGAGGTCGCTGTCTCAGATACCGGAGTGGGCATCAATTCGAAAAAGCTCGATCAACTATTCTATGACCTCGAACAAGTCCAATTGGAACCTGTATCAATGATAGAGGACGCCCTTGTGCCAGATCCGAAGCAACTAGCGGCTCAGAGCAACAAGACTGCACTGGGTCTTGGTTTAGCAGTAGTTGCGCGCATCATCAAGAACATGAACGGACAACTCAGGCTTCGGTCTGAAGAGGGTAAAGGCACCCGCTTCATAATACAATTCCCATTCGATCTACCGGGATCCGAGGCAACCAGTCCACCAGCCATGGACTCGCCTACAGAAAGTGTCACACCTATGCCAGAGATGGTTACACCACAGCCTGTAGAGGGCGAACGAACTTTGATTGCACCCACTCCGTCGCGCCATAGCACTGAGTGGAAAGACACTGGTCATAACATTGTGAGGAGATCCAGTGCGGAGAGCCTACTTAGCAAGACTAGTCTTCGTAGTTCCATGAGTGGTGTGAGCCAGAGAAGCGACGTGGACCGACTTATCGAGGCCATCCAAGAACCACACCTGGTCGACAACAGACCACCAAGCGAGCGAGGACCATCAAGTATACGTTCATTGAGGCCTACCCTTACAAGAGGTCACAGCACATCACATGGATATCATTCCAAGCCCAGGTCGAGGAGTCTCGAGATGGTCGAAGGGAGAGTTGTCATCCCGCCACACCAAAGGAGTATGAATTCAAGGATTCCAGGTGAAGAGCCGATTCTTTTCTCAAGCCAACCTCTACGGGCAGTCAAAGTCCCAGATGAGGGTACTTCACCGACCGATACGCAACAGCCTGCAGGTTCAATCTTTGGTGAACTGGTTGATGAGCCCGAAAGAATGCCCCCTAGCCCCGAGAACCTCACTGCAGAGCGTATGCGCGTGCTGGTGGCTGAAGACGACCCTATCAACAGCAAAATCATCAAGAAGCGATTGGAAAAACTCAAACATAATGTCTATCTGACTGTCAATGGCGAGGAATGTGCATCTGCGTTTGGCGACAATCCCAAAGACTTTGACGTTGTCTTGATGGATATGCAGGTGAGTTGGGCAGCTTCTACTACTTGTCAGATCTTACTAACGGCTCGCGCAGATGCCAATTGTCGACGGACTCACATCGACCAAGATGATAAGATCTTACGAGAAAACACACCGAAACATCTACTCGCCTCGAGCAAAGCTGTGTGGACGTCTCCCTATCATTGCCGTGTCCGCTTCCTTGCTCGAACGAGACCGACAGCAGTACATCGATGCTGGCTTCGACGCATGGATCCTGAAACCCATTTCGTTCGATCGACTGAACAAGCTGCTGGCGGCTATCGTTGACACATCCGTTCGAGAATCTTGTGTTTACAAGCCAGGCCAGTGGGAACAAGGTGGCTGGTTTCACAAGGGAGAGAAAAGCTTGGAAGAAGTCTCCACGAAACCGTCGGGCAAAGTACCGTTCTCAAATCCATCCCAGGAAATACAAGAAATCGCACAATCAGATGATCCCATGGCAGGCAAGGAAGACGACCATGACCCTGTATCTGAAGAGCAGAAGCGGCTTATGCATGCCCAGGAGGAGGGGATGGAGCCAGCACAATATGGAGAGGGCAACGAACAACCATCCGAGCCACCTACATGAATGAGTGTGTCGACTCCGCTGACCAGAAAGTCCGAGTCGCTATTGGTGCGATTCTTTCATCCACTATTGTTCACCATTGTTCGCATTTCTTGGGGCGCTACTGCTATTCGAACGGCCATTGTTGTTTTCTTTGCTAGCAACATTGCACGGCGCATCTTTTCACACACACAAACACACACGCACACATATATTGTTTCTGTCAGTGGGGGTTTGGATGGTTACTCGCGCATAGGCGACTTGGCATTAGATTTTTGGGTTCTGTTTCTTCGGAAGATGGCTTGGGTATTGCTTGGGAGGCTGTTCGTTGTATCATGATTGTAATCCACGTTTGATGCTGGGGTGAGATGCGACGAGATCCGTATGTTTATGCTGCATGTGGAGGGGGAGAGAGAAAGAGAGGTGTAGAATAGCAGGAAGGACCTCGAGAACATGGAATGGAATATTCAATGCAGAGATTCATGCACACCTACATACATACGTCTACTAATGTTGTATTCTAGAATTTCTGGGACAGAAACTAGACCTTGGATGGGATATGTTTGTCTTTTCTTCTCCTTTTTCTTCTTCTTCTTCTTCTTCTTCTTCTTCTTCTTCTTCTTCTTCTTCTTCTTCTTCTTCTCTCAGTCACTGTCTTTGTTATTTGTACATTATAACTACCGCCCTATCTACCTATTACACCAACAATTACCATTGAACACCCAAAGATAACATCATACTTCATGATTGTTTTTCTCTTCTTAAAACTCATACACATACACACTTCGTACAAGACAAGATAAGACAACACAAGACAAGACGATCCATCACCACCAACCCATACACTCTCCAGCCCATTCATGGCTCAAATCCGCAAGTGTGCAAACTACTTACAGCAAATATATACACATCCACATATCTATCTATAACCCCGTCGATTTAGCCAGGAAGCAGTGTTGAGTCTTTGCTTTTTATTGTTTGGAGTTATATATATATACACACACAACCAAGGTTCGCATGTTTATAGATTATGAGTTTTTAAGTTCACAACCTAAATTAAATGTTGGGTACTAGATGGGATGAGCTGTTTGGGACTGTGAAGACGCGTCTGCATCAGTAAAAGCGTTGGCTAGTTAGTTAGTTAGTTAGGAATGGGTTGGTTGATTGGTTGGTACTACTGTGTATTCTTATGAATAATTACTGTGCGTATCTAAGTCATTATACCAAGTTATTATACTAGCAGTATGCTTAGTGTGGTTAGTCTAGCCGGGTCTATGATAGGTTTGCGTGTGCTAGATATTTAAGGTCGTGACGTGGTAGATTTACTTCATGGAAAGGGTTATACGATAGGATTTTGCGTGGATGCGTGGTTCTTTTTTGGGGGGGTTTGATGATATATATAGCTTGTTGTGTTTTTGGGTGTCAGTGTCAGGGTGTTATGTGCGAATAGTATAGTTCTTGATTAATTAGATCTATGTGTGTTGTTGTACGTCTCGTAATGCATACATTGCAGAGATATTTTGGTCTGACGGATGGGGTTGTTTCTGTATGTGTTAAACATGGCTTGTATTGTTGTGGATTAGAGGAGTATAGAATGGATGCGGAAATGAAGATCAAGATCAAGATGAAGATGAAGAAGCGGTGTCAAGTCCAAGCGCAATACAGTGTTTTTCTTTGCTGTGAATGGCATGGCTGGGGAGAAGCGGGGTTTGATTGGAGTATATGAGATTTTTAAGTAGATGTAGACGAGTGACCAGGGAATCCTTGCGGGAGGTTCATTACTGTTGTAGATGTGAGGAAGACTAAGCGAGTAGGTGGGTGTGTAGTTGTTGGACGGCGAGGAGCAGCTTTCCGTTCTTCATGTTGTGTTTGTGTGGCAGTTTAACTTTTGAGATTAGGAAGTGATTCAACACAGGAGAAATTTAAAATGAACTCATGCAGGATAGATAGCATGCGGGACGGGTGCAGATCTTACCCAGGTGAGTCTTAAAGAAGGGATGTGTGGGAAACGGTGTTGGTGACACGGGAGAGTGACGAGAGTACCACAAGAAAATGACACGGAAAAAAACTTTACGCTGATGTCGCATCTACTGCGCAAGACAATACGACTTTAACTCTACCCCGCCAGGGTTTCCCAGCCCTATGCACGCCGAACCAAGAACAGTTGGTGGTTGAGTCGCGGAGATATTTTACCCGTAGACAATGACGCATGGCGATGCGTCATTGGAGAAATAAATTTCTGCGTTTATCCGAAATGAAGTTTGTCGTGACTGCGGGGGCATGGCTGTCTCAGAGATAGTCCAGGCCTGGAAAGACCACGGTAGAAGGTTGGTATGCGCTGTGGTTGAGGCTAGGATTTTGGGTGCAGATCAGCATACACAACGTGGTGGTGCACGACACAAATGTGCATGGAACGTTTTTGGTGCCGCCGTAGCGTACCTCAATCTCGGGAGACGAGCCGTTGCCGCGGCGGCAGGTAGATGCTTGTCTGGGACGCAATTTCCCTTGCAGGGACGGACATGAAAAGTCGTGATCATGTTGTTGGATAGCTACCTAGTGAGTGTGTGTGTTGTCCGTGCAACGTGGGTTGTTTCGTTGAGGGTTTGAGAGTGTCGCGTAATGTCGTGTCTTGCATGTTTGGAGAGGGCAGCGCACTCGATGTTTGTAAGGTGCTCGAGTGCGTTGCAGGTGACCTGGCATTTCTCTTACTTTGAGGTCAGTACAGCTTGGCATGCACCTGATGGGGAAGCCGTGCGACCGAGGCGTTTGTGGATGCTGCATGGCGGGTTGCAGCGAGCAGGAGGTTGAGTTGTGTGTTTGTGAGCTTGTGTGGCCGGTGGTCGTCTCTCATGTATGTGAAGACGTATTGAGCAGTTTATAGAGAGTGATATAGAGCTTTGTAGAGACAAGTTGGAGGCTCCGCAAAGGCAGATTGACAATTTTTCAGGCACAAATCAAGGCTCTGCAAGACAAATCATGAGTTATGCAACGAAAAATCATGAGTTCTGCGTTGGCAGAGTAAGGTAGAATAGAACGAAACGACGACGTGTCTGCTGTGGTGTCGGTCGTGGCATGGTGGGTGTGAGGAGCTTGTGAAGAATGTGGGGAAGGAGCGAGCCGTGACCACGTCGAAGACAGCAAGCACACAGGGTTGGATTAGTCACCAGGCGGGGTCAGTCAGTCGCTGGAGTAATTTCTGGCTAGATTGCGAAGAGAGGGAGATACGGCAAAATAAGCCATGTCGTCAGCGAGTACGGCTCTCACGACGGCGCGACACGGCGGAGGTTGCACGCTGCTGCATCTGACGGGACCGGTTGGGTGTCAGAGGCGGGTGTCGCATGAGCCGGCAAGGGCCGACATGTTGGTGCAAGGGCCGACACACATGGACATGGTGTAAGGCTAGGCTGAAACGGAGCCCACGCACGGCGGACGTTGCGGTGGAGATTTGGGTGCGCAAAACCAAGCTTCGGCGCTAGCAGAGCTAGGACATGCTCCCCCAGGCCTTAGGCGCGCCCTGCCAGCAAAGCGAAGTGAGCTGGGTCGCCAGGATCACGGCGTGTCTGTGCCGGGCGATTTCTTCTGCGGGCTGGCTGCGGTGACTGGCAGTAGATTATCCAATTCACCCGCTCCTCTGCAGTCGTCCTCCCACAGCGTTAGCGAAGCCGGCGCTTGCATTCGCTGTCGTTGCCTGCAGCCCCACGGTCGCGCAGCCGCAGTGCTACGCTACAACCTGCCATGGACCAAGGGTCGAGCAACCAGTCGTCGTCCTCGCGGCGGCCACGGCGGGCACCTCCCATCTCCTTCCTGAACAGCAAGTCGAACCTCAAGCGCAGCCAGTCATCGGCCGCCGCCTACTCGTCCTCGCCCGGCCCAGCCACGGCCTCGTCCCTCCCGCCCGCGAGCGCCCTGCACCGCTCGCCCTCGCTGCTCGCCTCCGTCACCGAGAGCCATCACCAGCAGCACCAGCAGCACCACCCCGCGAGCGCCGGCGACAGCGCCCAGTACTTGCCCGTGGCGTTGACGGGAGCGCCCTTCAACGACATTCTCCAGGAGGCTCTGCACGCCTCGCGCTCCCCCAACAGCAGCGCGACACGTCGCCCGCCCGGCCCCCAGCACGCCTTCACGGCCGACCAGCCCTTCAAGCACCGCCCGCAGCTGCGCCAGTCGGCCTCGCACACCTCGCTCGCCCGCAACATGGACGCCCCGCCATCGGGCTCCAAGAGCCCGCGCAACCGCTACAGCGACGAGGGCGAGAGCGTGCTCGCGAAGAGCAGAAAGGCCGACGTCGGCAAGAAGAAGGGCACCTTCTCGACCTTTATGAGCAACATGCTGGGCTCGCCGCGCCGGCCCACCATCTCGACGCCCACCAACCCCATGCACGTCACCCACGTCAGCATTGACAACGCAACGGGCGAGTTCACGGTACGCGTGCTGCCCGCTCCCTCCCATTGCTACCCCGCAATGCCCTCCGTGCCTGCCATTCGCGCTTGCTAACCGCCTCCAGGGCCTGCCCAAGGAGTGGCAGCGCATGCTGCAGCAGAACGGCATCACCGAAAACGACCAGCGCAACCACCCGCAGACGGTCGTCGACGTCGTCAACTTCTACCAGGACAATGCGCAGAAGACCGAGGACGAGGCCATCTGGGACAAAATGGGCCCCGTGCATCCCCAGGGCCCTGCGTACCAGGCGAACGGTACTCCCACCCAGAGCTCCGCCCAGTCTCTCCTCAGCCCACCGCAGAGCCCCCGCTTTCCGCGCAACGAGCTGGACAGCTTCGAAAACCCCCGCGCTCCACCCCCCATCCCTCGCAGTGTCACCTCGCCCATCGTGGGCTCGGCCCAGCACAATGTCGCGCTTGTTCCCAGCCGACCAGCTCCCAGAGCGCCAGGCCCCGCCGCCTCCTCAGCCAACCCCGTGCCTGCGCGTCCTGCCCACCCTGCTCCCGCTCCGATCAACACGCAACAGCCCATGCACGTGCCGCATCAAGGCAACGACTATCCCCAGGTGGGTTATGCCCCTCCGTCAGCCACCGAGAGTCCCCTTGGCGCCTCGTCCGCGCCTCGCAGTCGAGCAAACACTACGGGAGGCACCCCGCCGCGCCACGATTCCCCGTCTAGCGCCACTGCTATTTCTCCCGCCCAGCAATACCAGCAACAGCAGCAGCAGGTCATGGCTGCAGCACAGTACTCGGTCGTTCCCAAACCACAGGCTCCGCTTGGGAGGAGTGTCAGTTACAGGACCCCACCGCCGCATCTCACGCCAGCCGCCCACGTCCCAACACCGCAGCAGCAATTCGCCCAGCAAATAGATCCACAAAACATTCCTCTTCCCTCGCAGCAAACTCGAGTAGGCCCGGCGCCGCGACCGCGCCAGAGGCCCCGTCAGAGCCAGGGCCCCGATATAGTTGCCAAGCTCAATGCCATCTGCACGAATGCGGACCCCACACTCAGGTACCGCGATCTGAACAAGATCGGCCAGGGTGCTTCTGGCGGCGTGTTCGTGGCTTGGGAGGTGGACACGAACAAGTGCGTGGCTATCAAGCAGATGAATCTGGAACAGCAACCCAAGAAGGACTTGATTATCAACGAAATTCTAGTTATGAAGGACAGCAAGCACAAGAACATTGTCAACTTCATGGACAGCTTCCTTCTGAAAGGCGACTTGTGGGTCGTCATGGAGTACATGGAGGGCGGAAGCTTGACGGATGTTGTAACATTCAACATCATGAGCGAGGGCCAGATTGCCGCTGTCTGCAGAGAGGTGTGTTGAGTACTTCCCTTTCACTTTACTAGCTGACTTTGTAGACTCTGCACGGGCTGCAACATCTCCACTCCAAGGGCGTGATTCATCGAGATATCAAATCCGACAACATTCTCTTATCCCTGGAAGGCAACATCAAGCTGAGTAGGTTAAGCCTTGAAAATTGATTGGTCACCCCTAACGATTTGGTAGCCGATTTTGGATTCTGCGCACAAATCAACGAGAACCACAACAAACGGACGACCATGGTCGGCACTCCATACTGGATGGCTCCCGAGGTGGTCACCCGGAAAGAGTACGGCCGAAAAGTCGACATCTGGTCGCTGGGTATCATGGCCATCGAGATGATCGAGGGAGAACCGCCATATCTCAACGAAAGCCCTTTGCGAGCACTCTGGCTCATTGCAACAAACGGCACGCCAGCGATCAAAGACGAGCACGCTCTATCGCCCGTATTCCGAGACTTCCTAGCATTCTCGCTCAAAGTCGATCCGGATAAGCGTGCAAGCGCTCACGATCTCCTAGTGGTGAGTCCCGCTCTTTTTGGTATCCAACCCCTATCGCAGCAGCTGACAACGTGACAGCATCCATTCATCCAAACCGCCGAACCTCTAGGCACGCTAGCACAGCTGGTAAGAGCTGCACGAGCAGCAAGAGCCGAGGAGAAGCGCAGGAAGGGTGGTATGTGATTTTGTCTCCTCCTCCTTCTTTCCTAAGAGTTTTCTTATCCATGGGAAACTTAGGATCGAATCCAAGGCAGACCAGCGGCACTACCTCCAGAGACACAAGCACAGAGTCGTACGTCGAGTGGTATAACAAGACGGGAGCATTGTAGGAATGGGGGTCCCCCCTCCTTGTCCTCCCGAGCTGTGTGCGTAGGAAAAACTCGGGCCGTCTGGGGAAATACGCCCAAATGGAGAAGTCATCCACCCACCCACCGCGAAAATGCCACAGGAAACATTACAAAAAAAAACTTTCAGATCCGAGTTCCTTCATCGACTGCGGAAATGGCTTGACATCCACCGTGTTCAAGCTAGGTAGACGATGATGGGCTCTCCGAGTCGCGGGGGGGAGGGGTCGATGTTGACGATTTGCCACGACCAGTATTTACCATGACTGTTGGAATGGAATGGAACCTCGTTACTTTTTTTTCTTCTTTTTTTTCCGCAAAAAATCACGCTTAGACTTGTCCTGTCTTCTGTGGCGAGCGCATCATCTCAGCACCGTTTTTATCTATCTATCTATCTATCTCTCCATCGATTTCAACACAGACGGCTATATTTCACTTCACCTGGGGAAGAAGGGGCGTTTTGTATGACAACATGCGTGTGTGCCGTAGATCGAGGGAGTTTTTTTTTGTTGTTTCGCAAATACTTTCAGGTTGGTGGAGGGCGAGTGGAATAACGCTATATACCTTAGGGACTTGTCTTAGTGTTTATATGGGAAGGGAGGGGAGGGAGCGGGGTGGATGGGATGGGATGGGATAGGCTTGTAGGCACACAGACAGATAAGACAGATAGAAGGCGGTTTGAGGAATGGAAGGTTTTGAGGAGTTGTGCTTTTGACCTTGGTGATGTTAGAGTTATGTTTCTGAGCTTGGTGTTGATTATATTCTGTACGGTGGGGGTTACGATGAGTGAACGGGTGGTGTGCGGAGTTTTTCGATTGGTTTTGTTTGGTTTTGTGATGGCATTGCCATTGAAGCGATCCATGGACTGCCCTCCCATACTATACAGCATTGTACATGAAAAGTCCAGCCACAACAACAAAGAACCTCCTGTCTGAAACACACAGTGCCCAGCTTAGCTAC